GGGCCGTGCCCTTAAAAAAGACACGGATACCACACCGCCAAATTCCTCATCTTTTTCCTTTGGGTACGAGTTGCCGTCCACTATTAGCCGACTCTCTAAATCTTCCACCTCCACGATCCGACCTTCTTCCTCTGTGAGCAGTGGTCCATATTTCTTCTCGCGAAATCGCACCGCGCGGCCGGAGATAGGTAACGACTTAATTTGTTCACTGGGTCTCGCACCCAGAGCGAGAGTTGCTCTGTTCCTCGGGTCCCGAGGCTCCACTGTCTTAATCATTACCCGCGTCCCATCTGGCTTCCTAATGGACAATGTTTGGCTCCCATCAAGTCGCTCTATCGTCACCGCATGCACGTGGCTCAGCCACGTTCGACCCAAGAGCAGGTCGGAGCTGCAGTTCTTGACTGCAAAGACAGGCAGGGTCACTCGTATCCCTTGGACCTCTGTGGCTGCCTTGTGACAAACCTCAGTGATCTGTTGCTTTCTCCCATCAGTTGTCTCTATCTCGAATAGGTATGACCTATCGAGGCCYAGTCCAACCTGTACTGCCAGGTCCTCGTCTATGATGACAGCCTCACTGCCGTTATCGATCACAGCATCGAGTATCGCTCCATCGTTTATAATCGTCTCCACGGCCCCGCTACCAAGTATATAAAACTTGTCTAGAGGCACACCTTCCATTCCATCGAGAAGGACTGTCGCCATGCGATCTGCTCTGGTAGTCACCCCCGTTAATGCTATTGTAGGAGCTTCCGCCTTAGGGGCCCCCTGACCCTCCTCCGATAGAGGTATGCGAATCTTCTGCGTGATCATCTCTAACTCATCACGAGCCGGCTTCGATGCCGCCAGGTACTCCAGAATAGAGCACTGCATGGATTGCCAAAGGACCCGCCTCAGTGGCTCGACCGTGTCAATCTCATCCAGCGAACTCTTCATTAAGAACTTCTTCACTCCCCTCTTTCGCGGCGAAAGGATAACCTGCTCTTCATCGACCCACTGCCCGTCCTTCTCCGTCATCACGTAATCCGTGTCAGTCTTCTTCGATGTAGACCCTCTCGCCGACTTGGTGGCTGTCACCCTTATGGGTGTGGTCGCCATATCCCCCTCAAAGGTTATCTTGATGCTCTGGCTCCTGACCGGCTCCTTTTCTTTACTCGGCTTTACTCTCCTCGCTTCGACATTCTCCTTCATCGAAGGGAACATCGATACATCTCCCAGACCATCTGCCCACTTGGCGTACTTGCGGTCGTCAAGCACGACAAGTCCCTCATCTATTGCCCGTTTGAGGTCCGGGCAATCCCTCTTGATATGATCTTCTCCTCTACAGTAAACGCATGAGTTCCTAGGAGTAGATGGTCTGTCGTCTGCGCTTCTCGAGATCGAACTCCTGGCTGCCTTGGGGTCAAGCGACTTGGGATATGGTTCTGATGAGACGCCATACCCCTCTCTCTCATTCCGGCCTCGCGAATCGTTGCGGCGGTCTCCTCTAGACCCTCCTTGCTCATATTGCCTTCGCGAATCATTCCGGCGGTCCTCGGAGTCATATCGCCCTCGTGTCTCATCGCGTCGGTCCCCTCGGTTGTACCACCCCCGCGACTCATCGCGCTGCTCTCTCGCATCTTCCTTGCGCTTAAACCGTCCGCACGACCCATCTCGTCGTTCCCAGTCCCGATCTCCTCTTTCATACCTACCTCCTCTGTAGCCATCTCGACCCGACCTCTCGTATCTGTCGTCCTTATACCCGTCTCGGTCCGATCTCTCGTATTTGTCGTCCCTATATCCATCTCGGTCCGATCTCTCGTATTTGTCGTCCCTATATCCATCTCGTCGGCCCTGATCTGTCTCCCATCGGCCGCGAGAGTCGCCTCTACCCCGATCGGCCTTATAGCGAGGGCTTCGCGGGTAATCATCCAGCCTCCTTGATCGCGCAAACGGCTCGTGATCTCTGCGGTCTCGGTCTATCTCATCGTCCCTACGTCGCCATGGCTCATCGTCTCTCTCTCTTCCCCTCGTACGATAATCAGTCAGCGTCCGAGGATTTCTATCCTCGACACTCGTCCAGGAATCGTTGTTCCTACTGTCCCAGCGAAGTGAATAGGGCCCTCGAGGTTTGTCCCGGTAGGCCGTGGCCCCTGTAGTGGTCACAATCTCTGTAACCTGTCTTGTCAATCCCTTCACCATGTCCCGTATCTCCTTCACTTCCTCAACCACGGCATCATTCTTCTCCAACCAGGGATAGTCCTTGAAATCAGAACATCTATCAGTGGCATACTCCTTGTAGAGAGAGAAGTCACGTCTGCTCATCCCTCTCCACACCAAGTCTTTGTAATCGTCTGCCTCTGCCTTTATCGCAAGCTTTAGGACTTCTGGGAAATCAAGCCTGTCGCGCGGAAGATCTCTAAGTATACTCTTTTGCCTACCTTTGGACAAGTGTCCGATGAAGATAGTACAGCGCTCGACCTCTGAGATCTTCCCCTTCTTCATYARCACGTCRGAGATCTTCTGGAAACGCATCCCAAATGCCCGTACGCTCTCATCTTCATCTTGAGTCATTGTTTCAAGGTCCTTGATGAAATACTTATTATCCTCCAATTTGTAAAGCTCAACGAGGTTCTTCTTGTACGGAGTCCATTTCCCATCCTTCGGTCGAGCTTCCGTAACTTCCCTACTGAGACTTGGGTCCATATTAAATAGGAAGTTCTCTATAATCTCTTCCTCCGACCACTGACTTCGGCTAGCATGAAGCTCCAACTTCTCCAGATATTCTGTGATACCATAGCCCCTGAAGGTAGGAGGCTTTGAGGCCTTGTGCGTAATAATATAGCGATCCTTGCTCTCGTAAGGGAGCGGATGTGACTCCCTTGTCTGGGGGTCGAAGACTCGCATCGGCGGCGCCCTGTCTCTATCTCTGTCCCTCCAATAGGAATCCCTCAAACTCTCTCTCCAGTCGTCTATGTGCCTGTCCGCTATGGTGTCCCTCCGCTCGTACTCGGGGGAGCGTCGCCTCGTCGCTTCTCGTCGTCCGCTCGAGGTACCCGTCTTTAGAGCCTCCTGCGGCTCTGTCGCAACTGGTTYGCCTCTTACGTCGGGCCCTCCGTCATTGGTTTGGTCAGCCCATCTCAGCGGTGCTTCTTGCCTAATTCGTTCCTTCAGATCCCTCAGAGCTCGATCGGGCGATGTCCTGTACTCCTCTCCCACTTCGCCCATGGTCGGTTGTGGCCCCATCGTGTCAGGTTCCATTGGACCGCCAGAAGACGAAGTTAGGTATTCTTGCCAACTGTTACAGCCCGACCCTATGACAGTCGTTGCAACCCGGACCTGTGACAGTTGCGGCAGCCCGGACCTGTTTCCTTGTCACGGCTCGCGTCCGGCTCCAATCTTAGCTCTCGACTGCCTTGATTACCACCTCGAGTATCCCGTACCGGTCGCAGATCTCGTGTTCTCCCTCTATCCCAAGAATCCCTGTGTCTAAGTAAACCTCTCCTTCGGGATCAGCCAACAAGGCCATGCCTCTCCGGATCTGCAGTACGCCCATGACACCCCTCAAGAGTCTCTGAGCGTCTTTCTCCGTCCTCCTTGCTAGTTCTCCTAGCCCTATCCTTAATCGGTTAGCCCGCTAAAGGCCCTCCTACTGCCATGCAAAGTCGCCCATCGACCTTTCTAGTTTTCACTATCCTTCCAAGAGCTTCCAATTTCTATTTTCACTACCTTATCTCCCAGACGGCTACGCGGTCATCTGTCTAACAGCTGAGGTAAGTTAGTGCTATAACCACTTGTAACCTCATCGCCGACCGCTCCAATATGTCATAAAATGTCTTAAGGTCCTCCTTATCTCCACCCTCCTCTATCGCCTCTAAAGTCTTTATCAATTCCTTCCAGTACCGGTCGTGAGCGGCTAACACCCTGAGTATTGCACCATCTGTTACAACTCTCCCTAACTCTCCAGCTTTTCTGGCTTCGCTTATCTTCAACCTCTCAGCCTCTCTGGTCGTCTCGTACCATGCCCTTATCTGAGACCGCCCTTCGAAAGGTGTCACTTGGAGTACGTATTTTATCCTCCGTCCTCCTTCTATTCCAATCCAAAGTCCTGTTCCCCTAGCCTCACGCAGCGCGCGGCGGACACACTCTGCCTCCTCAACTATGCACAGTCTGGTATGGAGCTGGAGTTCTATGWTCACTAACACTAATGGTCCGTCCAGTCTCCCTACCACATATAATGAGTACCGATCCGTCGTGTGTAGTGCAGTCTCGCTCATGTCCTGTCGCTGCTTCCCTGCGTTACTTTGTCTTGCGTTGTCTCGCTCTCTGCAGATCGCTCACTAGTTTCTTCGCGTGATACGCTTCTAGCCTTTACCCTTTCCAGAAAGTCTGATCTCCACGCCGGGATAATCTCTCTTTCCTCCCTAAACAGACTCTCTAACTCTCTCGTCACGAGTTCAGTCCTACGCAACTTGCCCTCGTCCTGACACGACCAGATCTCCCTTAACTTGTCCCCCAACTTCTTTACCTGGTTCAAGAGTGGTTCTTTAACGCGCTTTCTCACTCTTCCGACTGCCTCACTCTCCTCTTCCATACTCAGTCCACATCTTTTTTCAGCTCATCCTCTCACCCTCGMTCTAGCCTCCGCTACCGTCTCATCGTGGTAGTGCTCCGCGCGCATATAACCATGAGACCATATCATCACATCATAGRAAATCGAGGTCTGGAAGGTCACTCGCGCCAGTACATCAGCTCTACGCTCGTGGATCAAATCCCTGGCTCGTTGTCTGCACTCACTCGCTGTTAAGTCCTCGTCTACGAACGCTCGGGGAAATACTGTCACAGTGTATCCTACGCTTACCAGTTGTTCTCCTACACGCATCACCGTGGCCGTCCTTCCCGGCATTCCCTAAGCTGCGGCCTCGAGGAGAAGTCTTACATCCTCTAGCCCCACGTAATCGATCTCTGTCCGTCTCCTGCAGTACCTAATCAGATCGATTGGCCTCAGACAGTCCACCCAGCTAGTAACGTCTATGATGTCGTCAAGCGTCTCTCTACTGGGCGGGCCCCACCTCACACAAATGGCGTAGTATACTTCCTTGAAGCGGGGCGCCAAGCCCTCCCAGAGCGCGTAAAGTGTGTGGTTCACTGCTCTACTCAAACGATCCACGCTCCCATAGGCCTGCCCTATCACGAAGGTAGGAAGTCCGAATCGCCAATCCTCTCTCGGATAGAGGGTCGGATGTGGTGGACCGTATACCAAGCAGCTCCAACTCGTCCTCCCTCCAGAGAGTCTCACCAGTTGCTGATTAACGATCACTCTGGCCAACGACTCGCTTCTCCACCAACTCATGCTCGCCTCTGCGAGCGTTAGTCCTATCTCTAAGTCGTGTGCTCTATCCGCTATCAGATGTCCGACCCCTCCTAGATCATGGGTCCTCTCGGGTCGTTCGTCTCGTAGTATTACTGTCCAAAGGAATAGCCCCTCTGCGAGCCACGTTCCCAAGTATCGTATCGGTACACGCCCTGCCTCTTTAAACGCCACAGGAAGTGGTATGTCGTATCCAACCGCCGTCTCTCTAGGTCCCACAAGCTTCCTCACACTATACGATCCGGATTCTCGTGAGAGAACATAAGCTAACCAGGCCACTGAATCACTCCTCATCTCTCCTCCTACTCTCGGTCAGCATCACTCTACTTCCTCCGATGTACCCCATCTCTCGACGTTGCTAACCCTTCAGACAACTCTCGCATTCAGGTCCAGTATGGTCGAGTAGGATCAGTAGCTAAGCTCACTCAACCGTCGCTCTAATGTGCTCCTCTACCTCCTACGCCCAGACTGCTACTCCTATCCTGGGAAAATGGGCGTCTGTAACGTCAATCTCCTCCTCGTCAACCTCACTCTCTCGGTCGACCCAGTCTGGCTCCCAGGCGTCCTCGTCGTCCTCACGCTCCCAACCCTCGTCGTCAAACTCGTCCTCGACGCGGTATGGCGCCTGTCCTATAACCTGGTAATATTGCGCCAACTGATGGCCGTATATCAGAGGTCGTTCGGCGTCCTTACCCCACCAGCTCTCCCAGTCGTCTGAGAAGAGCCGCCCGATGCAGGTCACGTACTCGGGGCCTGCTCGGAGCTCACGGTCTAGCCAATCCCAAACGCACGGAGACTGGGGTCACTCGTCGTCTATCGAGCGGATCAGMTCTATAAGCTGAACCCTCTCGTCTCCCCAACGAGGCCCACCGGCTGCGAGCGAATAATAGATGTAGTCTAGGTCGGCAGGCCTTCTCGCCAGGATCTAGAGATCCTGATAGGCCAGGTATGTCTCGACCACTCCACCAWTACCTCCAAAGACGCTCTCTACTACGAACGTCGGAAATATCGCCCGCAGGCTCCTAACGCTGTACGGGAAAAACCCGTCCCGTGCTACCACCAGCTCGCCCGTGATATCAAGAGGAGGGCGTCCGTGAAATAGGGTCAACGGATCGCTCGCGTCCTCCGCTCGGAAGGCAGCTACCTCTTCCCCTAGGTAGCGTAACGCCCTGCTAACTGTGCCACTCGTCCCTGTCGTCGCGAGGCCCACCACGGCCTCCCTGACCGCGCCTGGTCCCGAATACAAGTAGGCTCTCACTACGCCCACTCCTTGCCCCGGCCGGTGCTCTCTGTACGTCCAAAGCCACACGTCCTCGGACAAGATTATGGACCTCCACGCAAACTGGCCGTCAACTTGTCGAATGTTGCGCCCGGGGATCGTGAGCTCGACCAGATCTCCCTCTATGAGTTCAGGGGGCTCCAAGTCCCAGTCAATGGTAGCCCCATAGACCTCTACCTGCACCCGCGGCCACATTCAACTGGCGGCTAGAGAGAACGCAGCAAGAGGGAGGTGTAGATTAATAACTGAAAATTCTCGTCGCTTGCCTCACTCCTTCGGGAACAAGCTAGTAGGTTCACCCGAAACCAGTTTACCGCAGCGTCTCTTTCTCTTCTTCTTCTAGGGAATTCTTTTGTATTTTTCAATTATAAATTAAAGAAAATATATTTAGTTAAGATAAAATTTATTTCTTAGTTTATATATATTAAGGATCAATACATATATAAGCCCGCCGAGTTTGATGATTTTTAGGGGTAAAAATAAAATTTGGGAAATTTACTAAAATTTCGGCAGCGTTTCGCCTCCCCCCGTTGGGATGGGGTTCGGGCGAAGCCCTCAAACAGCGCTGCCGAAGAGGGAAAATCAAAAGGAATAATGGAAAAAAAGAAAAATTGATTTAACTCGATTTTTAAATATTTTTGTTAATTAATTAGCAAAAATTTAAATTAAAAGGAAAATTTCGAGAAATTTCGACAACAGTTTTCCTTCCCCCTTAGTGAGATGGGGTTCGAAAAAAAGTCCCTCAAATAGGTAAAGTAGATATGAAGAGCATTGAAGTCAAACAAATGCCCCTACGCAATTTTTAATWTTTATTTCAATTTTTTTTTTATCGATTTTAAATAACAAAATCAAAAGTAARATAATTCTTAATTATTTAATGGGGCAAAACTTCCCGAATTAATTTCCACAATCTTACGGGATATATTTGACAGAAAAATCATCCGTAACAAATACGAAAGTTAAAAGCTATGGCTTCCCTCTATCTACCCGCTTCTCTCAAAATTGGGGTTAGGACTTCACCCTAATTAGGGTTTCCCCTACTTAGGGTTTTGGGTTTTGCGCGCAACCGCACGAACACCGCAAAGCCCTGCTCGACGCGAGAAAATTTTTGTTAGCTTTCACTAGTTTTAAAAGAAAAACTTATTGGATTGCATTTTAAAATTTATTTTTCTTTTAATTTAATCAAAATTACAAAGAAATTCAATTTCCCGTTGATTTTCTTCCCTCTTTTCTATCTGTTGGAGCTCGCCGTTTGTCCAAACGAAGTCCGTTTTCCCCGACTAGGGTCTCAAAATATCGGGAAAAATACAGCGACCAACTTTGGTCATGGCGGGGTTCCCCTAATTTCGCTTATTTTCCCGACCATTTCAATAAAATATAAATCAAAATTTTTGAAATTTTTAATCAGAATATACGAAAAATTCCATATCTCGCTTTTCAGTCGTTCGAATTTCTCAAAAAATATCTCAAGACGTTCGCCTCAACGAGAGCACGAACTTTGCTCCAAGTGCGCCTCGCACAAAAGCGCGCGGATCAGGAGATATCGAGGAAAAACCAATTAGAAATTTTAACTCATGATTTTTAGGATTTTTAATTAGAAAAATACAAAAAATTCCATATCTTTTTTTCTAGCTGTTAGAATATTTCAAAAAACGTCTCAAAACGTGTGCCTCGACGAGAGGGCGAACTTTGCTCCCGGCGCGGCTCGCACGA